TTGTGGTTCAGGTTCAGGTTCAGTTCAGGTTCATTGAACCTAAATTTGAACTGAACTGAACCTAGGAACCCTAATTTATATTAACCAATAGTTTACAGATCGCACTTCTAGTAAGCATACAGCCGATCAGATTACATAAATCTTTCTAATCCCAATTTCTAATTTGGGAAATCCCCCGAATAATAATAGATATCAGATAAGTTTGAATTATAAATTTATTAATAGTAAGAATTTCATTGAACGTATATGTTGTACCCCGGATTGGAATTTTCCCGATTCAGAATCAAGACAGTACCGGATGAAAACATTGTAATTTTTATTTAATTTTTATATTCTAAACCTAAACCTAACCCTAACACAAACTCTAATTCTAACACCAGCTCTAACTCTACCAGTACTCTACCCCCAAAATCCCTAATTCTTCAAAAATAATTTACACTAGGGCGGCCTGATTCTGAATCAGGACAATTCCAATCTGGGGTACAACATATATATCCATTTGCGAAGGTATATGTGCATATTAGATCATCTATATTATCAAATAGCCACTACTTTCGGCCATTACTGCAAGGTAGGGAGTTATATTTTCGCTAAGATTTTTAGATACTTTGGAAAGTGACATAAACACCACTTCAACTTGTTCTAAATAGTAGGAGATATTAATTGAGGTAACTATTGGTTGAATGAGATGAATCTTGAAGGTAAGAGAGGTTATTATGCCATAGCCAGCATTCCCAGCTCCTCGAAGCACAGAAAAAAAAAATTTTTAGAACCAAATATTTAAATCAATCAGGGTCATATGAAGAAATAGCAATCAAGATCGTAAAAGATTCTAATAAGAATAAAGTTCTAATTTTAAATAAGGTATTTTTTATTATTTTAAAATTTTCATTTTCATATTCTTGAATCATAATGAAATTGGATTAAATGAAATGAAAGTTTCTATTTAACATTATGAACCAGAAAAATAAGATTTCTTAATTTTAATTTTAAACCACATTCTGTAAACTTAGTAGTTAAATATTGTACAGTACCTTTTAATTCTATCTCATTCATGTCAACTTAATGAGAATTCTTTATCAACGCGTTTACAATAAGCTATTCAAGCTTGTAATTCAGGTTTATTTTTATTGCGTAAAAATAAGATTGCTAGAAATTGAATCACGATAGTACTAAGATATCGAACCGAAATTAATTATATAATGAAAAGGTATTATAAATCAATTGTCGACTTAGAGAAATTATTAAAAATCAAACCAAAAGATACATGGGCAGCAGAGGCACTTAAATTAGTTAAAATAATATAAGTATAATATGCACTCGTAAATTTTTAATAGCTTTTATCAAGATTTGTGGTAGGTTCATCAAGAATGAAAACACCATACCATAATTTGTTTCTGCCAATGCCAATCTAATTATAATTGATGCGGACATTTTTTGACCAGCGCTGCACCTTCCACGCATATCATATTCTTGTTCAAGACTAAATGAAAAGTTCACTAGTAGG